GTAAATATATTAATCAGAGTCCATATCGGAGTGGAAACGCATGCCTGCCTTTCACAACTCAGTCTTGAGAATGCTTTCGTTGGCGATTGAGCGACCCCTTCGTAGGGTTTGCATGGTTGGCAAGATATTGGAGATCCTTCCAGTGTCCTTGTCCAAGGGTTCCTCACAATTCCGATATCTCAGCATCCACTTCCTCTGGTGCGCCCTCACATTGCTCGCACAGGCAAGACAAGACATCTGTCTTCACGTACATCGTCGACATACATCAAATACTTCACAAGGAAAACTTCTTTCTCGCCGATCAAATCGGCGTCATCTTGTCCCTAATACTCGGACCTAGCATACTTGTTGTAAGGACTCAGTTCATCTCGACTACCATCCTTGATCGCCCAATTGACAAGAATCGCCTGAGACTTCAATTGTGCGGATGAAACTGTAGATTGATTCGAGAAAAATGTGAAAAATTTAGATCAGAATCAATACATTTGTCCTCATTGTAAACATCGTTGCTGTAGAAAGCTTTAGCGCAGAAAGCATGGAATTTGTCCAAAGCTACGGTGAAAATGTATTCTATGAAGCTAACGACATTTTTAATGCAGTTTTCTACACTGTAGCAGAAAAAGGAATATTCATCGTCTTTATCCTCCTGGCTTCGCTTTGAAAATCTTTGCAAGTCATATTGGAGGAAGGACTCAAGAACGGAAGACGCAAGTATTCCAGACTGCATTTGCAAGTTTTTGTTTTCAGCCAAGACCTGTCATCCGCCCCCCACCCGGTGATTCTCCTTTGCATTCTCACAAACATCGTCAACATCACAACGATTCTTTTTTTTTCCTCTTCTCCATGAGCTTCGCTGGCTCCATCATTTCGGTCAAGGTCGTCTTCTGCATCGTTCAAGTTCATGCATATGGGCGACCTTTAAATCTAGACCAATCGGAACGCAATGCTCATGTGAAAGCAGACCCTGGCGTAGTAGAATGAGAGTAGAGAAGGCCAGGGAACCCATCACCATCTTTTCCATTCGAGAGAAGTATTACTCCGAAAATACAGTATTTATGCTTCCCATTCCCATATTCCAATTTTTAGTTGATATTGAGAGTTTAATACTAATATTATACTGTGAAGTTAAATCATGGACATGGCTAAAAACGAAAATTTTCTTTATACAGTTGCAGCATACTAAGTACAGAAGTGTCCAAGAATCGGCTGAACACCAGGGTTTTCATATCTGGGCCGCTGTGACATAGGCCTTCATTAGCCGAACGCGCGAGGCCTACAAGGCTATGCGTTACTCGGCCAAAGGCTAGGCGGAAGGACCAATGTTCATTCCATTCTGGGACACCCTGTATTCTCCTAATCGAAATGTTCACAGCGAAAGTTTTCTTTCAGGTGTTCAGGGTTTTTAATATTTAAATTCAAAATGAATATTTTAATACCTGAAAATGTTTTCAGCTTCAATAATTTAAGATTTAAATAAAATGGTCGAAAACTCTAGAAGCTGCTGCTGATGTTCTCAAGTCGGATTCCAATATCCTTTGTCTTTAAAGACTTTCCAATACTAATTATACAAGCAAGGTATAAGAGGATGACTGTTTCCGTCACTAATGTTTTTTCTTCTACTTTTGCTGATTCCAGGGGTCTTTTCCCGTCTATCCTATGTGCTGGAATAGGAGAATGTCAGATATATACAAAAAATGGATAGGCTATGTCCTCCTTTATCATCAAACTTCCAACAAAGCCCTGTCTCAATTTGACGTTGACAGCCAGCTAAGTGCCCACATGCCTCTTGATTCCGTCGCCGTAGATCATCCGAAGTTCCTTCCCGTAAAACGAGAAGGAATTAAGTGTAACAGAGGCTGAAGCGTAAGAGTCTGAAATGTGATATGAACCTTTGCATCGTCAAGGGCAAAAATATTGAGGGGCTTTTTTTTAATAACCCTTTCAGACCTAGCGTCCATTCCAATGGACATTAAATTTACATTGTGTCTATGGCAATTTCTTAGGATTCTCGTGACTTTGTGCTCCGTTTTACGTTATAATGGGCACAATTATGCATGGCTCAGTTCCATCAGAGACCTTCTTTCACCCATTAGTTTTGTAATCTTCGGTTATTTAATCAAGTGAATAATATGTCATGTTTGGTATGATATGGTAAATTTATACAAAATATAAAAACTACATATAAAGCATGAAAAGCTTTCGTGATTGTAATATGTTATATTACAATCACGAAGAGCTTACAAATGCATAAAAGGATATTATTCCGATAGCGGCCTTAATTCAGATCTGAAAGGGTTAAAAATGGCGATTTCACCACAAAACTGTGAAAGCTTAGACATGAAACAAAATCATATTTCTGGAGATTCCTGGGACCGGCAAGACAATGATCAAAGTGGCTGGAAACGACATTCAAACAGTGCATTGAGCGCATGCAACGAAAACCGGGGCTTGGCGCTAATGGGGGAAGCCCAAGAAATCGGACACGTCGAAGCTTTAGCGTGCAGGACCAGGACCTTCCATGGAGGATAAAACGAAACTGATGACGTCACGTTTCCTATGCGCGTAGTATTCGGGTGCCTTAACTTCCCCCGCTCTCATTCCCTTTCCTCCAGGAAATTGCTTCTCCGTATATGAGAATCTCAGGTGCGACTACCCAGATTCATGGAATCCTTCCACGTTTTCGACAGTCTTGCGCATGATCGATATATTTATTGCTTCTTTTTTCATACCCATTTCCGAATTAAACTACCTCTAGGAGACGCTTCGAGCGAACAATGCAATCGAGGCGTCTTTTCCTTCCGTCTGTGGGAAAAAATGAGGGTTCGGTCTTTTTGAATGGGGCCAGCTAATGGCCTTCTGCATCCATTACGAGTGAGTCAGCCATAATGGAATAACAGAGCAACATCTTCAGCTCTATTCTATTACCTTCTAATATAAACAGTTGTCTGACTGACTACAGCACCCATTTATCCCATCCTCATTAAACGACGTACTGGTAAGCATCGTCCAATGCTCTTCTGCTTGGCCTACGGCCTGCAAAGGCCGTAGGCCAAGCAAATAGGCCTCTCGCGTCAGGCTACGGTAGGAGAATTCTAGGTCAGATATGCCGAAAAGTCACTGATGGGAATGAGTTAAGTGCCCGCTAGGCTCATGATGACGTCTAAGGTGACCTTAGTGTAAGTTAACTAAAATACGGACATCAACTTGTATTATTTTGAAATAAAATTGAGGCAACACAGCGTTAAGTGAAAGGATCTGAAATTCGATATCAATCCTTTAGTAGAAGTGGACCTTCGTAAAAATTGGGACAAATTCCGCCAAATCATCTCCACAAAAGACAATGAACGAAGTTTGAAAAATAAACCCTACTAATGCTTTCCATGCCACGCTTCGTATCCCCCGTGTACCCTCTTTATAAGGTAGTGTTTAGATATGACAAAAGTAAAGAAAGGTGATGGGAAACCTAAGTGAGAAAAAAATTCAAGGAATGACTGATCTAATTGCATGATTTACATTTCGACAAGGGTCGTTGTAACATGGTGGGTATATGGATGGAGAGGTCAACAAGGGAAAAGCTCTAGTTCACCTCTCCTGAAAAGTGAAGGTCACGTGATACCAAACGAGAACACTTGAATGACAAGATTGATCAAAGTGAGGAAAACGGAATCGGGCTGAAAAGTCCGCAGAATAGATTTCACCAAAGTTGGATGACGAGACGGACGTGACGGAAGAAAGAGAGCAGGGATAAAGACCGTGGTGGGCCAAAGGGAAGAACCACAATTCCAGGCAGAGACAAGGCAGAGTCCTAAAGTCTAACAAGAAAGTAGTTCTTCACGGCGTGAAGAAGGGAAGAGGTCACTACAGGCGGTTGTCCTATAAGAAGAGTCGGGAGCCATACGCATGGCTTGCGAAAGGACGACAGAAGCTCCAACGTGGACGACTCCGAATGGAGAAACAACAGCCCTTTTAAAGAGTTATACCATAGAGTAGCGAGTATAACTAGAGGCGACACTCCGCTCGAATCCCATTCATTGACAGGGTCGCAATATAGATGTTGCTGTCGATCCTCCACCTAGCGGGCTAACATCAACAACTCCTCCATGGCCGAGCAGCGGACTCAACGAGACGTGTTACGTTGAGGGATCCCTTTGGGTCGAATCCCCGAACGAGTCGATTCCCGATTCCGCTGCAACGAAGCACGCCTCATGGAAGTCTTGTTGATAACAAGCCACCAGATGTCTCTGTAATATTTCGACCCACCCCTACCACTCGGAGCGTCGCCTCCGGTTACACTCTCTACTCTATGGTTATGCCTTGGCCTGATAGAGATGATATGGAGGGGTGAATCCTCCAGGCCTGGGTACGTGACTCAGAGTGAACCCTTCAAGGTTAAGCAAAGGTTAAATGCAGTTATGGGACTATTTCCTGCTCCTACCGGGCAGAGATAACGCATTCACACTGCATGAGCGAAAAAAATATCATATTTGACGCTTCAGTAATTTATTTACAAGAGAACTAGAATCCGTTAAAATTGACTTTGAAGACAGCAGCTTTCGCCAAAGATAGCGAAATGAATGATTAATATAGCCATGGGATAGGCTAAAGGAAAGAGGGAGCTCTTAGAGATGCTTTAGAGTCATTGTCAACTTGTATTTTTCGAGAAAGATTTGAATTATGAGAGCTTCACACGAACCATTCCTATCGTTGCAATAGATATGCCGTACCATTTATGGTTCGTCTGTGCCCTCGGATGATCCCATAGCATCTCTGTTCTGAATGCTCAACTAATTAAACTAACAACTCTAAATGCCACGTGCTGCTACACGTCCCCCATAAGGTATTCCCTCATATGCTTCATGAGATGAGGACAAATGCATCTATTCAATGCGTTTCGGGTTTCAATCTTCATCATGTTGCATGAGCGCGATATCACATAACTGAACGAATCAGCAATCTCCATCCTAGGGAACAAACAATTCTGCAAACACAATTTTGTTGGATTAATCTCGCCTCAATACATCCAAAATAAGCTTGTCACCGAGACCAGTGATGCTCGTGGAAGTCACACCGTCCTAATGTCATACCAAAGAGAAATTAAGTACGATCAAAGATAAACTAAATTTGTCCTGCTGGAAACATGGTATTTCTTACAATGAAAGGAATGGGTAATATTTTTTCCTTTTACCGATTCTAATGACACGCCAAAATTGAAATATAGAGTTCTTTCCTGTACTTAGATTTTTGGAAGGTGCTCAAGATCTTTGCTTGCAGGGCCTCTTAGAGGATTGGTCATCTCAACGCTTAAAAGACATCGTCGAAAAAAACCTCTCTAGATAGAAATTTTCTTCCTTTTTAAAGTAATGCACAAGTCTATCAATTAAGTAATAACACAATAATCAATCATATTTTTGGTCAGTGTGGAGGTAAAAAAAACTCCATGAAGCAAGGTAAGCCTAAGATCATCCTATCATAAGGTCGGCAGAAGAAAGCAGGAGGACATACAACCTCACTTTTCTTATGCAGTACCTGAATGCCTTCGGCTGTTGGGAGTAGTGTTCCGTCTTTTACAAATGAATATTTTCTTGTCAACTTACCATTTCGGTTTCGAAGCAGTTCCAGTTTAATTTGTGTTTTTCTTAGGCTCTGTCGTCGCCTCGCTTGAATTTAAAAAAATAAGGTATTGATGTAAATTTTTGGTTATTTGACTATGTTGAAAAATCATATCTGATGAAAGTCAAATTTCAGAGAGGCTGTCTTGTTCCGTGATGTTATTACGCAGATATTATATAAAACAAGATTAAAATCTTCCGGATTGCTGTCCCAAGTGGAGAGAAGTCGTAGCATGGAACTTAATTGCAAATTGCTTGAGAATAGCAATTTCTTCCAGATCCGCAATTAAGATAGTAAATTAGTAAGTCTATGCTATGAACGGAAGCAATCTCGATTGGAAATATGGCTGACGATGAATGAATTTTCTTAAACATGGAATTTATATAATAAAAATACATTTGCTATTACTATATTTTTCAATCAAATACCCGTTTTCCGATGTAATGCCCGAACGAAAAGGGAATGAAAAGTCTGTCACATCAGTCCTTCGGATAATGCAAGGTCACAGGAAAGATCCGACTACGATTCAATTTTATTGATGCAGGTTTGCAGATTTAAAAAAAAAGTATCCATAGATGAATTGTTCCTTTTCCCGGGTAAACAACTGTATCTTAGCAGGAATGGAGCTCATCATAGAAAGCCCATGTCAGATATTACCAGTACAATCAGCGCATCAAGCAATGCCAGTTTATTCATTGTCACCGTTTCGGTTGGAATTGAAAACCAAAAGTCAAGATCTTCCATTCATTTCATCAACACAGTTCCAGTTGTGTCCTTTCACTCAAGTTCTCATAGTACCAACTTTCCCATAATTAGCATGGAGAGCTGGACGGCGGTGATTCCAGCGGCCATAAGAAAGCCGGTCCAAGTCATCTGCCGAAGCAACGATCCCTGGAATGAAAAGCAGAACGGATGCTCGAGTCTCATCCTCTTGAGTTTAATTACAGTACACGGACTTTCTAAATAAGGTCGCAATTTTGAACAATTATATCTCAGAAATGAATGGAGCTGTGAATTTGAAACAAAGTGCATTTTAATGCTAAAGACGTGAAAATTTTTCCCATTACATCTATATCTATAAGCAAGGATCTCTGTCTCTGTCCATCTGACGCTATGCATTCGGATACCCTTGGAGATATCGACCTGAAACCTTCGAAGGAGGGTGGGGTCTGTCCAGTAGCAGGTCATAGGGGGGTCGGGGTCAGGGGGGGCGGGTCCGGGTATTAATAAAAATAAAATTGCCAGAGCAGTGCTCCCGTCCCCGTCGGTCTGGCCGGACTTAGACAAATAAGCACTAACAAAAAAGCACATAAAAGCACAACAGCTATATTACTCCTAAAAAATATCCCGGGCAACGCATTCAGGTAGCAAACTAGATGAAACAATATTGCTTTGCTCACCCTCCCTTCTGTCTTTTTTCCTTCATCACCATTCAGCATGATTGATCCCGCTTTGACGTCTGGAAATAGTGATGCCTGGACCTGATGATAGAGATAGATATGTTGCGTTTGAATAAAAAAAAAGGGATGTATGCTTATGAAACACGGATAATGGCTTTGATGCATAAGGACTCACCTGCAGGACGACATGGGCAAGAACGTACATCCCGACGAAGAACCCCATGACGATGTAGCTTTTATTTGGGAAAATGATGGACTGGAGGCCGAACGCCAAAAATATGTTCGCCACTGGAAAAAAGAGGGACGAAGTCACTGATGATGATAATTACAGTAGAAATGAATCTGATTCAAGGAAATCCCCGTGGATGAGTAAATGCTAATTGTCCTTCCACTACTCTGGATCCCCGCTACCCGCGCCGCTGCTGCATGAAAGGGAAATGGGATTTCAAAAGTCGTAGTATTTTTCCTTAACGCTGAGTTTGATGACCGACAAAACAGCTCCTGATCTGAACATATTCCAATATGAAATGCATGGGGTATTTCATTTTCCTCTTAAAGTATAGCAAGACCTTAGGATGAAAATCTCTGAGTCCACTAAGTGTCGTCTAAAGCGATGGGGTGCTTATACTCGTACAGAGTCTAGAAAGTGGGTGATTAGGAGCCCGCTGCTGCGTCTAAGTCTTCTGCCAAGCAAGCTCATAGTTCGTCCTGGAGCAAAATCTACGGAACCAACTAGTAGAAATAAGGTTCCATTTTTTTTTCAAGCTTCCCTGAGGCTAGATATACGAGTTTTTGCTGCACGAGGAATAAGCCTGGAAATGTGCACGCGAAATACCCGAACGTGAGTTTCATTCGTTGGTCACTTCATGAGGGAAGGGTACAAATGAGGCAAACGACATACTTGGATCTAAGGAGCTTTTCAGATCTGAGGAAAGCAAAAATTCATTCGATGTGGCACGTATCCACATCGCTTGGATCTGATGATGTAAAGGACCTTGCTGGCGTGGAAAGTTCAAAAACGTCCATCACTATGAGGCAAAGAGGAATTTTCGTTGAATGACATCGTCATCAGAATGTCAAAATTCATAGTTTTAGCCCTTTTAGCGCCACGTCGTCGATCCATTGGCTTGATCGAATATGTACAGTTCACGGGGCACTAAAAGGGTTAAGGCAGCGGTTCCCAAACGGTGGGTCGCGACCCACCGCACTCATGAGGGTTCAATGCGAGTAAAAGGAGCTTTGCATATTATTTACCACTGTTTGTGTCCGAACATCATAACAAGGGTGGGATTGTAGCAAAATGACAAAATCCCATGTAGTGGTTGAGCTGCAGTAGTTTTTCCTTGCCAAATTCCCAAGTGCAGCCTTCATTATGTTTCAATGGTCAGAGGGCAGGGAAGCCCTTCACTGAAAGGATGCGTGGAAAGGACAACTCCATTCTATTGTAAACAGATTGTGATAGTCTGGAAGGAACTTAGCACGTCGCTGCCAACTCTTCTGGTCGCCATCGCATGGAGATTGTTTAGTTGAATGGACATGCTTTTGATTGCCTTCCTTCGCAAACAATTTTCTCATTGGGGAACGTAAATGCTTAGCTTTCATATTACATAGGGGATAATCTCCAACAATTTTGCATAGAGTCTAGGATATTGAAGCGATATACAGAGATATTCCATGATGCTACAGACGATAAGGCGATACCATTTTTGCTAAATCCTATTTTTTTAGCGACATTTTTGCTCATTTCAATTCGCTCTCCATAAACGGGTTGCTGGGTTTCATTCAGTTTACCCTCACATCCCGCAGAATTGAGCTGCCCATGAGAATTGATCGATCCATAATACTATATTTTATGACACTGTACTTGGTGAACATGAGACAGCCGTGTTTCAGCCGGCTACAAAAAGCACATCTATATGTCAGAGTTTACCTTTTGATTTAGTTAGGTAACCAGCAGACTAAAATTCCTTCATGTAGCAGCACTCACCTAGTGCTTCTCTTGACCTAATACCTAATAGTTGCATGTTTATTTTCCCTTATGCTGCCGATTTTGCCTACAGGGCAACCAAAGAGAAGGTTCAGGGCATCTTTCGGTTAGCCAAGTTTGAATCAGCAGTACTAGTGCAACACCAGTTGCGTCGTGTGTACAGAAGAGGCTTCAGATCAAAATAAAATGAATTCGTGAATTAACAACGTTCTAGAGGCTTTCCCGTTCCTTTATCCACGTACCCTCCCCTTTCCCTCTCTGGGACACTCCCTGACGTTAACCCTAGGCTGGACCTAACGATCATTCGGGCAGGCTTAGGCTAACTCTCGATTTACATAGCCAGTAATATCCAATCTCAGCATATTCGAAACAGAAGTTTACCGTTAGGGTGATTACGGGCCTATTTCGAGTTCCACGAACCATTTCCGTGAGGAATTGTGACGTTAAGCTATTCCGGAGTTCCTTGAACCATACTGACCAAGATTTCCGTGGACTGACTGCTTCCGAAATTCATTCATATGAAATGCATGTTAGACACCATCTTGCTTATTAAAGGATGTCCGTGCACGTTATGTTCATATCCCACCTCAGTGACCACCCATCTCTAAGCACTTTCTCGATCTTATCTTACCCCATGAATTCAACACAAAAATGTTATACGAATAAAGTACAAAACATTGATAGGAAAGTAGAAGCTGTCATTGAGCCAGCGAGCTCCAGTACGATATGCGGCAACTGTGGGGGACGAGATTCAGGCCCGCACGATAAGCAACTAATTGTAATTTTGCACAGCAAAACGGTGCCTCGCCAGCAACGGGAAGGGCAAGCTCACCTCTACAAGTCCATATCTTTCGCTTGGGCTATCCCTACCGAAAGTCCCCTCCCCGACGGGCTACTCATGGGGGGTAATGAAATTCGCGTCCTCAGAAAGCGACACTCACTGTCCTCCGCAAATGAGCCGAGATGGCGCTTAATACCATCCGCATCGAGAGATTTATCAGCCTACCTGACCAAGAATTTAGCCACCGTTACCCGACGCGAGAGGCCGACAAGCCTATGTCTTTCCAGGGCATTGGCTAAACGGTAGGACATAGAACAATGTGTCGTCTGATGCGAATGGGTTAATTTTGCTGGGGGGGTTCTACGTTCCGAGGGTAAGGAGCTCGTCCAATTTTGACCCTCCAGGTGCGCTCACAGAGGAAAACGAAGAGGTAGAATTTTGTAACCGGAAAGGGCTGAAGAAAGGGAATAGGTGCTATCAATAAATGAAAAGATGGTTTAAGAAATTCTTAAGTACCGGGACGTAAGAACGAGGCACTGGGAAGCATCCGATGACTCGAGATACATGGGACGTGGTCTTGGTTGCTTTTGAACAGAGCCCAATAAAATAGTTGGGGGAGCTATGATGGAACTACAGGTGCCGAAAAAATCTACTAGTCACGAAGTTTCCCCCATGGTCGTGCTTACACGACCAGAATTTTGCTACTTCGCGACGAGGAAAACGACGTCAGAAATAATAAATTTTGCGAGAGCTTCTTGGAGAACTTTTGAAACCATCTGATACGACGAAGTTCCATCGGAGCATTCACTCGGGTTCTAGCTAGTTCTTCATCTGTCAGCCCAGTCCTCTTCATTGTAGACTGGGTTAGATTGTTGGACTGGCAAATGCAAGGATGCGTATTCTGATGCGCGATTTGTGAATATCCCGACAGTGGACAGAGAATACTAACGACATCCTTTGCACACAAAGAAAATCGTCAAGATGCTCTTTAGTACGTTCATAGGATGTCTTACAGATTTCAAGCACTGGAATTCAAGATTTCATACTCGGTAGGTATCTTCTGTGTATCCAAATGTTTTCCTTCTTGGGAATTAGTTATGTTCGGCATCTGGCTTTTTAAAATGAGAACGTGGGTTTCAGATTTGAAAGAAAGAACCTCCACAGATCTCAGAGTAAATGGGTGGATACGATGCCCAATTTGTATGTATCTGCTATTCAGTAATAAACAACCTTGTACACCATGTATTCCTTAAAAACCCAAGTGTATGAGTTTTCAACTTGCAACTACAGGATTCAAGCTGGCTTCCATGATTACATATTTTCGTGCTTCCAGCGATATAATGGACTGATCTGGACAGGGAACGACGAAGATTTAATGGTAATCTCATGAAAAAAAAAGTAGAGTTCCATGATGCCAATCTACCAAAGTCCTAAAGGGTCAGATCAGATCTGTTTACCCATCCACTTAGTCTCGTATCCTTCTGCCAAACCTAGGGTCTGGAAAGGCATAGACTTGTAGGCCCCTCGCGTTAAGCTACGGTATTCTGCTGCTGTAGCCGGAAGCGAGCCACCTTTAAGCCTTGGCGGTTTTAGGCTATAGGTATAGTGGAAAGTCACGGGAAGAGGTGTATCAGTATGTCGTTTAATGTAGGTGGATCATGCAAGAGGAGACATTACCAATACGTTGACTTCTCCCATAGACACACTCAACAACTCCGAGAAAGCCACTCATAAGAAAAATGAAATCGGCCTAAACAAATCCCGTGCCCTCATCCACCAAGTTGCTTCTGAGTGGTTAATCCAGTGGTCGTGCGATCACGATCTCAGCACAATGGAAGAGGTCCTCCTTGTACGTGTATTAGAGGAGGGGGTGACGTCGTCTCGGAGGTCACTTGGGCAACATTCCTTCCCGTCCTCTCTCGAAATTGTGGCTAATACTTCTTATTTCCTTCACGGACTATTATTGGACTTGGAAGTCTTGATTCCGAGCAGAAGGGAAAGGGATTTTACACGATTCTCGTATTGCTTTGCGAAGGAAGTTTCCAGCTTTTGTAGCATACATTGCTTGATTTAATGCGACTGCATGCAAACGTAAGGAACCTTTGAGTGAGATCGTCCCACTGAAGCTAAAAGATAGGTGTGTCTCCTTATAAGACGAAGTGCATGATGGGGCTCACTTGCGAGGCCATGGGCAGTAGTACCAACTCCCCAATGAACCCAGTTGAAGATGGGCCTATTGGGATCCCCAGGATGAGGCCTCAAAAGAGCCATGAAAGGTTGGATGAAACACAACACCACGGACACAATCCCCACCAGATGATGGGGCTTCTCGAGTAATTCCCAGTCTGCATGAGCAAAGATGCAGAAGAAACCGACGATGGTCAGCGTCCAGGTCGTCACCATGAAACCTCGGTGTATCTGGGGGCACAATCAAATGAATTTCGTCAATAGGGGATTACTCTGATGAGAGCAGGATGGAGAGGTGTATGATCTCACCGTGAACCAAATATCCTTCTTACAAACCTGGTTACCGACCCAAGTCTTCTTGAAATACCTGGCAGTGATGATGCCACTCGAAGCAAAGAAGATCCAGGCTAATACCATGCATATACCATGGACGAAGATCAGAATATCACTTTTGCCATGGGCTACGTCATACTTGAAAAGATCTACGGATTCCTGTGTCGCTCCATATGCAATACTGTGGATGCCCAAATTACCTGCAATACCTGGAAGCAGAAATAGTCCCGTGAGTCGCAGGTATGATCTAGTTTTTGTTAGCATGATCTAGTTCCGAAAAGCATGAGGTACTCCGGGTGTCCGGAAAGTAATGAAAGTTGCCTGTAAATTTGTAAATCTACAAGCAATGCACTTATTTAGCACTGCTCGGGCATGCAAAGCACTGCTCAGGCATTTAGATCAATATGTAATCTCTGTGATTGCTGATTTTCAAGTCAATCCGTTGAGAAGTACTAACAGCAAACCTCGAAAGGCAGCTCTATAAGCTCGGTGCAACACGGGCTGTTTTCAACAATTCGGATATGGCTACAAGCGTTGTCGTTGTGAACTTACGCTTCAATGCATTCACGTGGTTCAAACTTGGCATTGCGGCCGCTGCCTGTTACACGGAGCTGGTCCCTGTGTATGTCAAGTCTACTGTCTTCCAGTGAGTCAGCCAGCTTTAAAGTAGCTGCAGAAAAGGAGGAGGAGCCTTTCTTTCTTGACCAGCCCCACAGTAGCGGCCCTAGGTCCACCCAGACACCAGAGCTTGTCGAGCGGTGCGAGAGCTGGTGGATAAGACTGGCAAGTGACTGCTCAGGAGCTGGATGATGGGCTCGACGTTGGCAAGAGCACTGTCCACGAGGTGCTCACACAAGACCTGCACTGCGCAACGTGGCATCAGTTTAGGCACCGCACAAACTGACAGGACAACAAAGCGACTCGCATCAACGGCGCCAAGCACATCCGGGGCTTTTTTTTTCCGCAAAGGCTTGGAGGCTTTTTGCAGCAAGCTCGTTCCATGTAACAGGCAGCGGCCGCATTGTCAGGATTGAATAACGTGTACGCGTTGAAACGCAAGTTCTCAGCGCTTGTAGCCATATCCAAATTGTTGAAAACAGCCCGCGTTGCACTGGGCATACAGAGCTCTCTTTTGAGGTCGGCTCTGTAGGCACTTCTCAACGGAATGACTTGAAAATCGGCAATCTCAGACATTACATATTGATCTAAAAGCGTGAGCAGTGGGAAATACATTGCTTGCAGAATTACATATTTACAAACGGTTCCCATTACTTTCCGGACACTCGAAGTATTTTGATATTCTGCTAATCAGAGAAGAATTGGTCGCTTGAGCCATGCAAACAGTGGTATAGAAAAGTGCGCCAATCGCCCTATCGATCGGAACTCGTCTCCGTCAAGCTCTCCCCCCATGCTTTGTTCTCGAATCCAAGGGAAGAAAACTTTCGTGATGTACAGGTCCTAACTAATCAAGCCGAGCAAGCTAAGTCCAGTAGTAAGTCTTCTGCAATGACTGATGGGAACAGGATGAAATATGTTCCAGTTATGTGGGGAGGGTAGTAATAGTGCAGCGTTGGTATTGCACGAGTTCAGATAGCAACCCTGTCAATGCTAGCATGTACTGTTTTCCTTTCGTTTGTCAACAATGAATATGTCAGCACTGGCTGGAAGGAAACAAGCACCTCCAGCTGGTGACATGACGTCCCAATCCAAGCTGAGATATGTGCATGCACCTAGATCCAGGAATGCTAACGGTTGCTCGTGCTCTCTGTATGTCAAATTCCAAAATTTCGAATAAAAAATGTTCTTGGTACGAATTCGTCCAAAAACAAACCTGTCAGTATCTTATCCACATCTACCTGCATGCCAATTTCTAAATTGACCTAATGAGTATTTTCTTATTCATTATCGAACAACCAAAATGTGAGACACATTAATATACAGAACGGGACTGTAAGTGGTCTCTTTCCATTAAGGGAAGGAAGCCCACGAAAAGAAGTCAGCCATGCGGGACCTTACGGTGAGTCCAGTAAGTTGAAGGTCGATACATAAGTACACGCTTTTCAACTGCAGAGAGGACTAAAATCAGTTACATTCCTGAAGCGTACAACGACTGCTTCATCCTCGTCCACTCCTTAGAGCAGCTCTGAAACAGAAGAGAAGTTTCAGGCTCGTTTCTGCATGTGTTCGGGTTCCCAGTGTTTTCTCATACTTAAGTAACCCAAACATGTCTGCAGAAGCATTCGTCTTACCAATTACTGAACCTCTGTATGCACGACTCTATTGGCCAAACCTTTCCGTGAATGGCTCTACAGATTCCATTAATTCTCGCTATTCAGAAACATCGTATGTAAGTCATGAAAAAGGGCGAAAACCTGCTGCTGCGACAGTGCCGGCGGCAACCAGGACATGATACTTGGTAGAATTTAGGTTGAATGCCATGTCATGGTAGGTAAACTCAATAGGAAGAGTAAACCCGCACTTGATCATTCCATCTTCGAAGACACTGGATCTTCCCCAGATCCCCATCTTTTGCTCGCTCTGGACGTACAAGATATTAAATATCAACCCTCTATCACAAGCTGCACCTTTGTCGGCTTAGCTACTACCATCAAAGGAAATTTAGCATGAAGAAACCCACCTCGGCAAGTCTCTTATTTCCACCTCTTTCTATGTTGAAGGATCTGTATATGTTGACATTTCCACCCTCAAGAACGCACTCCACCACCCCATCACGTCCCTGAAATGGATGACGATTGTTTTACACGAGAGCCAATTGCCAATTATGCCAATCGGGAACCCTTCGAATTGTACATATGAGACTTTACCATTCTGGCATCGGTAGAGAGGCCGGCAGCAACGTATTCCATGTCATTCGAAACTTTGCCAAGAAGAGTGAAGGCAACTTTAGTCCTGTCTAGAGAGCCTCGGTATGCGACGAGACCATCACAATCTCGGCTAGACAAGCAGGTGGAATCGCATCTTGGACCCTTGCATCCAAAGCACCCCATGGTAAGACCACATCCATTGTAAACTTCTTCCACGGTTGGTAAACGCTACGGAGAGAGGTACCACGTAACGTCTTAATACCAAACGTTAATGCTCTGGAACAGCACTCCCCAATAAATTGGGCGTGATCCCGCGGCAATCGCGAAGCCTTATGTAGGGTTTCAGGGGCGAGCTTGTAAGCTAAAAGTTTTAGAACCACTGTTCAAGGATAACTTTAATTTGAAGCAGAACAGAGAGAAAAAGCAAATCTGAAGTCAGACGGCTTTCCACTTGGCAGTTTTATTTTCCCGCGCTTGTTAAATAGGGACAATCGGGCACATCGTGCAACCACAAGCCGCCTCTCAGAGTTCAATGGGTGTGCAATTCCTCCTGAAGCCTATCCTTATTAGGGAAGACCTGTACAATACACATGACAAAGAGAGGCACGAATTCTAGCCAATTCTGGATACGGAGCCTTCAGCGGAAAAAAAACTTTTTATTTGTGTTTTATTTCTTACTCTTTACCGTCATTGTTTGCCTTTTACTAACTTTTTAGACATTATAATGTCTTTTGATGTTATTTTGATCTTCGAATATTCGATTACATCGATGCTCTTCTGAGACGGTTCCTCATTTAATTCTCTCAATCTACTTCTCGCATTAGAGATAAACAATATTCCTCGCTCTTGATATCCATCATAGGATGACAATTGGATAATGATACCAAACATGAACATGAAGCTCGTTCTGGTTCGAGAAAGAGAGCGCAAAGAAACCTGTGGAACCCTCAAGAAGTCCATGATTATTATTACATTCATCATCTATCCCTGCAGAATAACTTGGCAAGACAAGATGGAAGAATGCATAAAATGATAGAAAAAGGCTTCGTAGAAAGCGGAGTTACTTAAACTCATTTGAGGAGTTTGTTTATAGTATTATTCTCAGACAGGCTCTTAGCAGACAGTTTATGTCTCCCAAAAGACTAATTGAGACGGAGGAGAATTTCTTAAACAAAGGAATGATAGCAAAATATCTCGTGGAGATACTCACTGTTGTCATGGAATGCAGTGAGGAAATCCCTCGGCTTGTATGATGCTGAAGTCCCGTCGCATCTGCAAGAATTATCAGGAATATGCCCATCGTTGAACTCAATCGGAACGCTTCGATAGAATCGTACAGCACTCCGAAAGTCGTGCACAAAACGTTTTCAGATATGAATTTCTCAGCACGTAACGTATCACCTAAAAAAATGGAGCTTGAATGAGGCGTGCTAGAGGTTGAAATATGGGGGCGGAGATGCCTCACGCTGAGTAGGAAGTATTAGCTGAATACCAATTGAGCTGTAGTTAGCTCGACTAAGGTCCGACAGGACAAGCCCGACTAAGCACCAACCTTTAGCCAGTGATTAATCATTCTTGAATGGCACTTGACTGTTCCGACATAAATCCGGAAACTTTTGAAGCTATAACATATGTTCTTATTCAAAGACTTACTGTAAATGTGCACTTACAAAAAAAGAGATTTCTCAAGGAAGAGGAGGAATGGAGTGGAGTGTTCGCAAATATTGGACTCACCTGAAGAGATAGTTTCCCCCATGGCAAGGAAGAGGTAGACGCTGGTACCGTTCAAATTCAAGTCCCCACCAGCTTCCGAGGTTGTCATTAAGTCGTGCGTAAATGTACACGTTAGGACACCATCTTTATACGTACTCGACAGTTCTAAAATCCCCTCCTGCTCCTCCTGCAATAGGCAAATCCGAGTACGAATCCTCTTCGTGGAGAAAAAATGTATTTGCTGCGGTGCTGGGTTAGAAGAATAAAACGCCATGGATGTTCAGAAATACTTCGTAGAAATATCTTGCTTCGATAATGATGCACTTTAAAGCTCTGACGACATCCTCTCGTACTATCATTCTCATCGCACATCAAGCGTTATACATTATTTCAGAAAACTGAGCTATGGAGAAGCATTGGTAGGAGGGGTGGGAGGGGGACAGATCTTTTCATCTTCCCTTGATCGCTCTGTCAAAACTCCTGCAAGGAGTTTTAACTCATCATGTATTCATACTGAATCAAAGGAGACGAAGAAAGCTTTCCATCGATTTCATATGGCTCCGATTGCGGCTCAGAATTTTGGGCAATGAACGGGAAAAGAAAGGACTGCACTTAACGAAATTCGAGGGAGCGCTTAATTTTATTTGGAATGGTATCTTACGAGACTGTATATTCAAACACTACGTAGGGCCTGAATACTGAAACCTCATTTAGGTGGGATAAAGGGACCTTTTAGCTATAGAGCTCTTATCCACCTATGGATTCTTAAAGGACTGTCAACTGAAGTAGGCTTCAGCATTCGGACCTTCGGGTGACATGAACCAGATGTCTCAAAGGCCTGAAAGCTGTCAAGTTCGACTGCTTGGGGAGGGACTCACTGGAGGCAGACGGGTGTTATTGCTGTGAATTGTGTTGAATGACCGAAACAACTCCGGACGTCCTGAATCTGTCACACATTCCACCACGTGATCTTCGCCCTGGAAAACAAAACTTGCCAGTTTTTATGCCGTTTTCAGGTAATATTGATGGTCAATTACTTATTCTATGATGAAAGTATCAATGCACTTTTGTCTTAAGTTCTTTCTTTGAATATACGCCTATATATCTCCAATATTCATTTTACAGCTAAATATTGATAATCCTGGAGGACGATGTAGGGTGTACTTAATGAACCGGTAAGCAAACAGAGACACCTATTTACAACGAACCTGCTTCTGACACAAAGTAAGAGATCGTTCAGTCGATTAAAAGAAAGAAACCTATATGACTCAAGCTCTTTCAAGAAAAAAATTGGTGATTCAGAAATCACATTCCGAGCAACAGAAACTTCAAACCACGAAAACAGCCCGACCGTGTCAACGTAAAGCTTCCAACGTTTGCGGGAATAATTCTAATTCTAACTTATTTTTTAAATACTTTTTATACTTTTTACGGAATTTTTACTACTCACAAACTCGGAAACTAGACTCATCATCAAAAGGTAGAATCAGACTCATCAACTAAGATGCCCCACGATACCCATATTGTTCTTGAGGGAGTGAACCTCATTCCTTCATCTGGACAAAAGTAATGGAACATCGTTTGAGTTCGGGTACATCTAGAATCTAGATGGTTTTACTAAATTGTACCCAAGCAGTCCTTCTCACCGTGACCAGCTCTTCCTTGCATGTTCCAACCGCTATGAAAACGTTGGGATATTATCCTCCACCAGTCACGTTTAGATAGCTTGGCAACATAATGATGAATACTTTGTGTAATGGGAGGCAGGCCTTCCTCACGTGGAAACAATCGTTAGAGGTACAGCTTAAATTTTTCTAACTTTAATTGTATGGTTAACTGCTGAGGTCAGGAATTCTTAATGGCGAAAATCAACCGCAGGGGTAAGCATTTTACTGTTCTGAAAGAGGTTTCTGGTGTCTTCAGTTTAACATCAAATTTTCTCGAATGGAGAACTGTCTTAGATGTCGAAGCTGAATCGCAGGGACTTTAAATGAAGTTTCAGTCCATGCAAATCCCATGGGAAAAAGTGGAAACGACGAAATGCAGACATAGCTGAGAATAGACGAAATCAGCATCACAAGAAGAGGATGTTATTGAAACACGGAGTAAATTCTAATTCATTCTTGTCGACACCATTCAACCTTGAAAACGAATCAATTTCGCAGATGAGAACATATAAATGAAACTAACTTGGGTGAATTACTGCTTTCCTCAGGCTGAAACTAGAATTAGGACTGCTGTCACCCCAAGGAAATTTTATTTACCAATTTTTATGAAGAAATCTGACTATGCATGATCTACCATATGGACAAACCACTATTGAAAGACCCAATAAAGTATTTATGTTATGCATTCCCTTCTCTCCACTCTTTCATGCTCGACTAAGCGAATGCGTCGATTAAGCATACCATGTACACATCTAGGGAGACTCCCATGGCAACATAAGTGTTCTTTGGAGCTTCCTTTCTCATGATGGTAACGGTGAAAGAAGTCTCCCCCTCTCCGGCGGGGATGAAAGTCAGCAATTTGTCGCAGGTTTTGTTTTGAAGACATCCTCCGTATTCTCCGCATTGATTCTCCACGCATCCGAGACATCCTTTTGCATCCCCACAGCCCGCATACGGATCTTGCTGGAAGATATGTCGTAATTAAGCCTGTCTCAATGAGAAACTTTGATGAAATGAGTTATTCGGATTAATCAAAGATTGAAAAATCAGTCATTCAATTGTTATTCACCAATGTTTTATGACGAAACCGACTTGAAGGGAAAATGATACATAAGCGAAATTACGGTCCTGGTCATTAGGCAAAACACAGTGGCGTTTTCCTAATTCACGCTTAAGTTCATGTGATTGGCATATGATGAATGGATATAATTGCAGGATACAATTCAATACTTAACCATTAGAATAGAAATTCTTGAAACTATAAGGAAGGTACCTCCATATAATCCATTCAAGTTGTTATTGACTATTGGTGCAGTATCCAGGTATGCGTACAATAACCAAAAAATTTCATGTTCTGAAGGCGAAAGCGACAGAGTTCTTATTTAATAGAATTCATTGTCTCATAGGAATCGCGGGTCCGCGACGAAAGGTCTAATCATGAATAGTCCAAATGTTAAAACATCCACTGTATAATTGGATCACGACAAGAAGGTCTACAGTCCAGATCGGCTAAAGGTCAGAAGGAGCAACTGCAAAAAAGTCCAAAGCTTGTTTTCCGTCCGTCTGCGAGAGAAGTTCCTCCCGATAGCTGTCAAAATTAAAACTGCACGTTGTGGGCGATTCCACGGAGATACTGCATCATTTCGCGATTACTATAATCTTGTACTATTGACTTGATTCTGATGTATTTTTGAATTTCGTTTCGGCGTTTCTTCTTCGTAGGATACCTCGCCACTAATCGATCGTGTTCCCTCTCGGTGTTGGCTTGTTCTTTCTGTAATTCCTGAAGCAGTAGGAACACGCCGAGATGCGATTTCCTCGATGAGGAAATTAAGCCTCCTATGCCAACCTTCGAAACCCATTCGTCGTCCTTGGTTCATCTCGCAGCACCCTGCTCCGGATATTCCATAACTCGATGGGGAAACATTGGACCTGACCGTAGCCGTCCTCTGACCCTTCTCCCGTCGATATAGTATTCAATTCATTATCCTAAGTCACTGCTCGTGCAGGACATGCATCACTACACCGCCAGTGCATGGTGTTCTCTAAATTCCTTGTAACCGTGTACGAATACCCACCGTAGCAGAGAAGTTGGACTCCTTTCTGTGTCTTAGAAAATATGAGTTTCTCCATAGTAATATCTTAGACACGATGCAGTCCGGACACTCCGTAAAACGAAGATCGAGGACTGAACGCATAGCTTTAGATGTTCTGTTTCCCTGCGTTGGTTCGATAGCATCGTCTGTTCCAATTCCTGCCTTCTCTCTACGACGCCGTTGGTAATCCTATAAACTTCCTCCTGCTTGGATCAGATTTCGCGCTGTCGAACTTTGGAACATTTAGAGACGAAGTAGTATTTAGACCAAATGTCCTTTCTCCATTTTGTCCTTTGTACCTTAATAACATTGAACCATCCATCCAGTCGCCCATTTGTCTTCAGATGATATTGACGCGCACCCAGAAATCGCATAGGAAACGGAAACTCATAATAAATAGTGGTGGTAGATAGGGAATGTACATTTTGAAATACCTCCTCTCCATTGCAATCCTCATGGGAAGTGCCATTCAAATAAAATTTCTTTTAACAGGGTTCTGGTTGAGGCAAGTGCAAGAGCAGCGATCCCAATCACGGGCAAAGGACTCAAGCTCAACAAGCGAGGTGCCAAGCCACTTGTGACAGTTTCCCAACGTAGTCGTTCTACCTTGTATAGGGTCTACCAGCTGGATATCTGCTGGTCATTTTGGAATGAGTCTCTCTTCCTGAGAACCTCTAGGAGGCATGCGGCAAACGTGTCCAAATCTTACAAGGTATGCCGAGGAGAACAATTTCACAGTAATTGGTGCACTCCCTAGAGTCTCTCTTCTTGAAATGAGGGGCCACCACACCGGTTTGCGAGGCCTTCAGGCGACATTCTTTATTCCATTGGAGTTTTCCTTTTTTAATTTTCATTTTAAAGTGAAATTGAAATGTAATATTCATATATAAAACAGGGCTCTTAGAAAATCCGCAAAACATGCTCTTGGAGTTTGAAAAATATGAGCAATAACTTTCCCATTGAGTTATTTTGCTCAACTTACATGACAAGTAGAACTTAAATAATTTAGATTTTACTCAAGTGGAGATTTTGCGAGTTGGGTTCGGCATCCGTACGGAATCGCTTTGCAAAGCGCTTAATAGAAAAAATACTTCACTTGTGGCGCGTCTATTGAAAACCATATACGAAACTGGTTTAATTCAGGTTAATACTTCCTATTACCTGACAGTCCCCTTTTGATAAAGATTGTTGATGCTTGTCACTCGAAGAAAATTTGATACCAAGACCACATGTTTTTTAAGGTGCTGAAATGATTGGAAAAGAGGGTCGAGATTCACCGGTGCCATGACATGTTCGAATGGAGAACTCCCTCGATTTGTATGCCCCATAAGCGTAGTTTCTGCATCTGAACCTGCAAAAATTATGAACAGCATTCAAATTGGTCAACTGGGTTAGAAGGCACTGAAGGAAATATACTGTCAACCAAGAAATCTTCAGCACTTTTTCTTATTCGAATTTCTCTAAACTTGGAACACAAACGAAAATAATTGTAAACCCTATGATATATTTTTATAATACACGCAAAGCTACAAACATCACCCAGTGTGGTATATCATGCTAATTTGCCTAGATATCGTTCAGACCCCTTTCTCGATTTGGGTATGATTATTATTACGGGAAAATGACCCAGCAATTTATCCATAACCGCTAAAAGCACTTAATATCACCATGCTGAAACACTGAGATGACGGATTCGAAAAGGAAAAGACAGTGCAATATTACCATGCTTCAATGCGTCAATGGAAGCTTCGCAGAGTTGAGCTGATCAGCTATCCGAGAGGATGTGAACATTTATCTGCCCGGTGTTTTTAGTGCTGAGAAACTGAAACCTCACCATAACGAAATCGTTTACAAGAAAATTTCTTCTTCAAGCGTAACAATTCTGATTCTCCGGCCGAATGCCCCATATAAAAAAAAACCTGTTTACGACGAACTCCCCTCAGCTAAAATAATTTGCGCTGTCCTCTTCCTCTTCGTTTCAATGGGGATTACTGTAGCTTATTAGGAAGTGTAGGAAGCTTTTTGCAGGACAGCAAGTTAAGTGAAGCCAAGAAGACTTTCTCAAGTTTTTTCTCCCCCATGATGATTCACAAATAATTTTCTTTTTACTGGACTGTCAGGATTGATGTGGTCATCTTCAAACTCTACTCTTATGAGGACAAATTTTACTTGACCGTACCATAACCATGACCGTTGCATAATTTTCAACTTTTTTGTGCAACGACTCGGGAATCTCCAATCCAATATTGGATGGGATTATTGATTACATTTCCGAGTTTTGCGCTAGCTTGATTATCCATGAAAAGGAGGAACTGAATGCAGTCTTTTGCAAAGACAGGACTCACTGGTAATCCCAATGGCGAGAAGGAGGTAGGAGAGGGCATATCCCAAATTCAACTCTCCGCCGAGATCCGATGATGTCACCAAGTCGTGGGAAAATTCACACATCAGGACACCATCTTCATACGAGCTCGAATTTAGTGAAACACCTTGCCCCTGCTGATCCTACAATATGCAGATTTGATTTAGAGTGCAGCTCGTGCAATGGAAATCCTCTTCGGACGGTAGTGTGTGCCTTGAGGATAAAATAAACTGAGATATTACTTTCGCTATGGACGTTTATTCCTTTCACAGCGGCTTTGGAATAATGAAATAGAAAATGCTTCAAATCCTCTGGACAGAGAATCACTCCACCGAATTTGAAGCTCATTCACGGCAGCAGAAAGAGATACGGATCTCACTTAGGCCACCTGTGAAGAACATTTGGTGTATTGCCTATGTTTCCCCCCCTCCACTGCATTGCCATACCTGGAAGTACTTTTCTCGAAAAAGACGTCGGTACCAAGATAAATATATGAGATTGTAGAGCGAAGCAGGCACCTTTTTGCACATAACATTTCGCGGCGAGAGAAGAATTAGATTAAGCACATTTTTTACTTTTGGCTTTTTTCGTAGTCACCATGGTTGCCTGATCTCATCAAGGGCTTCTGCCGGATTTGTGTGCGGATTAGTGTGACCTTGCCTTCATATCAGTGAGTCATCCGTTCTTGGTTTGTGATAGGTTTTTGTTCCGAGTTCGGTAAATGAAGAGAGGCTGAAACAGTGGATATTGATGACCGAACAGCGAGACTCATGAAGAAAGGGCCAAGCAAGTCCACCTCAACCCGAGAGGAGTCATGCACGTATATACAGGGTGCCCCCCCCCCCCCCCCCCCCCCCCCCCCCC